AACAACAATCAACAAATGCTAAACGTAAGAACTTTTGTTCACAGTAAAATAAGATGACAATGGTGGGGGTGCAACGCGCGACCGATGTGTGGTGTTAACAAATTATAGTCCTAACAGTAAAAGGTAAAAAGTAAGCTTACGTCAGACTGCACATCATCAACGATTTCATATTCATTCACCCATCAATAGTCGTCATTTCTGCGACGTATCTTCATCGTCCACCATTCAAACATTTCAAGATACAGCTCTCCTCCAGCACGTGTACCATGGATATTGTTTATATATAGCAAAAGAGCACCAAAAACACCACCTATTAGTACCTATACAGATGGTGTTGTGACATTGCATTCACGCAGCTTGTCAACTGTCTATGGTTTAACGTTTGGAATGTTGTCATCGCTGCTCACTGCGAGTTTTTGCCTTCAGCTGTTTATTGTTCAATAGAGTGGGGAAGCAAGGTCATCGTTCAAAAAATAGTTGTGCGGTTATTACACTTATTTTCGTTCTTGGGGTTTCTTTAAAATATTATTCCGCAATAAAGGCTTCATGATAATTCTTTCGAGCTCACTAGGCGAAACAGCATGTGAGTTTATGGATGGTAACTAAGTTTATTGCAAATAGTGGAGAGACTTTATAAACAAGTAAATGCCCACTCCGCTTGAAACTAGCAGGTAGCTAGAATACCCGAAATTGCACTTATTTTTTGGGTTATAAAACGTCACTAATTTAAGCAATTAATTAATAGGAAGCTAGGAGTGAAGATAATAAATGAAGTTGAAAATTGTCACACATTTCTTTGACTAATGAGTGTAGGATACCCAAAAGTTCTTTTTCTCAATATAGATATCCACTGCTGTGTGCTTATAACTGAATCAGTCTCTCGTAAACCTGACCATAATTGTATTTCATATAGAGGAAACCGCAGTGTTCATATGTCACAGCGTTAAGTTGCAAGAGCAGAGATTTTCGTAGGATCCCCTCACTCTTGGATAGTTAAATGTATGAAGTCTTACGAACTGTTTGCCAAAGACACAGGTTCTTTTATTGGTTTCCATGAAGAGAATTTCAGACATAGGGGCCTACCTTATGTTTTAGATGTTTGTTCCACTAGTGCATGCAAACACAGGCCAATTATTCACTGAACATGAACTGGCATCTGTTTTAAGTCAGAATTTTGGTTAAAACAGAAGGCCTAAAATGCTTAGCCCAGCACTGAGTTATTCTCTATGAATTAATTAGACAATTTGTGTTTTCAAGATAATTTAGTTTGTGCTCAAAAGAAAAAGAGCTTATGGAGTTGACAAACCAGACCCTATGCACATTCTCTTCATTGTGATGATCACGTACAATTATGTTAGATTTTCTTTGAATAATTTTCTAAAGCATATCAATCTGAAATTTCTAATAATCTTATTGTAGATGTGTGAAAGAAAGCTAACTTGCACACTGAAGACATGACAAAAATTACCAACCAAAATGATTTAAAATGTGATGATGAAATTGTGTTCTTGGACTTCAAATTATTACAATCAGATAAAATGTTTCATATTTTTAAGCCAAGCAACAAATACAATTTGCGCAGGTGAAAGATTTTTTTATTTCAAATATCTTGCTGATATAATTAATACAGTCACTACAATTATTGAAATTCAAACTTGAAAGCAGAAATTAAAATTAAACATGAATAACACTTGAGAAAAAAAACATGTATGACAGTTCATTAGATGAAAAATATATAATTTAATAATTTTTAACTGTAAAAATTTTCAACATAAATTCCTTAAAAATATAAAAACCAACAATAACCTCTCTTGCAAGAAATTTCCAAAATTGTTAGGAAAAGGAACTATATTTCAAACTTGGCAATATAAATGTAAAGAATCTGAACTAAATCATTCCATACATTCTCCACAACAGCCCACAGATAACCTCACACTTATGTCCAACTGGTATAATGATGGGCTATTTCTTAAGTAGAGAATAGTATAGCTGCAATAAAAAATCTAGCAAAGATGAAATGAGTATTATTGTCATTTCTCTAATGTCAGAACAGTTGTCTTAGCGCTATATAGAAAATATTTTCTAGCAAAAGACTTAAAACTTGCAGAGCATTTGCCGTTAGTACAGTATCATGTAGCAAAAAGCAGTCATCTTGGAAATAGAAAGCAAGACATCAGAAAACAGAAAGAGAAATCAGTTTCACACTGTCCTGTGTTTTTAAGTAGTTGTTTTTGTTATTGATTTCCCACAGAGTGCTAGAAACGTGATCTCTCTTCTTGTGTCATCCACGCAGCTTGTCAACTGTCTATGGTTTTAACGTTTGGAATGTTGTCATCGCTGCTCACTGCGAGTTTTTGCCTTCAGCTGTTTATTGTTCAATAGAGTGGGAAGCAAGGTCATCGTTCAAAAATAGTTGTGCGGTTATTACACTTTATTTTCGTTCTTGGTTTTCTTTAAAATATTTATTTCCGCAATAAAGGCTTCATGATATATCTTCGAGCTCACTAGGCGAAACAGCATGTGAGTTTATGGATGGTAACCTAAGTGTTATGCAAATAGTGGAGAGACTTTATAAACAAGTAAATGCCTCACTCCGCTTGAAACTAGCAGGAAGCTAGAATACCCGAAAATTGCACTTATTTTTTGGGGTTTATAAAACGTCACTAATTTAAGCAATTAATTAATAGGAAGCTAGGAGTGAAGATAATAAATGAATTTGAAAATTGTCACACATTACTTTGACTAGATGAGTGTAGGATACCCAAAAGTTGTTTTTCTTCAATATAGATATCCACTGCTGTGTGCTTATAACTGAATCAGTCTCTCGTAAGCCTGACAATAATTGTATTTCATATAGAGGAAACCGCATGAGTCATATGTCACAGCTTTAAGTTACAAGAGTAGAGATTTTCGTAGGATCCCACCTCACTCTTGGATAGTTAAATGTATGAAGTCTTACGAACTGTTTGCCAAGACACAGTTGCTTTTTATTGGTTTCCAATGAAGAGAATTTCAGACATAGGGGCCTACCTTATGTTTTAGATGTTTGTTCCACTAGTGCATGCAAACACAGGCCAATTATTCACTGAACATTGAACTGGCATCTGTTTAAGTCAGAATTTTGGTTTAAACAGAGGCCTAAAATTGCTTAGCCCAGCACTGAGTTATGCTCTATGAATTAATTTAGACCAATTTGTGTTTTCAAGATAATTTAGTTTGTGCTCAAAAGAAAAAGAGCTTATTGAAGTTGACAACCAGACCCTATGCACATTCTCTTCATTGGTGATGACTCACGTTACAATATGTTAGATTTTTCTTTGAATAATTTCTAAAGCATATCAATCTGAAAATTTCTAATAATCTATTGTAGATGTGTGAAAGAAAGCTAACTTGCACACCTGAAGACATGACAAAAATTACCAACCAAAAATGTATTAAAATGTGATTGATAGAAATTGTGGTTCTTGGACTTCAAATTATTACAATTCAGATAAATGTTTCATATTTTTAAGCCAAGGCAACAAATACAATTTGCGCAGGTGAAAGATTTTTTTATTTCAAATATCTTGCTGATATAATTAATACAGTCACTACATTATTGAAATTCAAACTTGAAAGCCAGAAATTAAAATTTTAAACATGAATAACACTTGAGAAAAAAAACAACATGTATGACAGTCTCATTAGATAAAAAATATATAATTTAATAATTTATTAACTGTAAATAATTTTTCAACATAAATTCCTTAAAAATATAAAAACCAACATAATAACCTCTCTTGCAAGAAATTTCCAAAATTGTTAGGAAAAGGGAACTAATATTTCAAACTTGGCAAATATAAATGTAAAGAATCTGAACTAAATCAGTTCCATACCATTCTCCACAACAGCCCCACATGATAACCTCACACTTATGTCCAACTGGTATAATGATGGGCTATTTCTTAAGTAGATGATAGTATAGCTGCAATAAAAAATCTAGCAAAGATGGAAATGAGTATTATTGTCATTTCTCTAATGTCAGAACAGTTGTCTTAGCTGCGCTATATAGAAATTATTTTCTAGCAAAAGACTTAAAACTTGCAGAGCATTTGCCGTTAGTACAGTATCATGTAACAAAAAGCAGTCATCTTGGAAATAGAAAGCAAGAGCATCAGAAAACAGAAAAGGAGAACATCAGTTTCACACTGTCCTGTGTTTTTAAGTATTGTTTTTTGTTATTTGATTTCCCACAGAGTTGCTAGAAACGTGAGATCATTTTAGAACCGTATCATTTAGTTAATGAAGTCTCTAGAAGGGTGTAATGAAACTTCCTATATCAACTTATGATTCTGGCTGAAATGCAATACTGATGTTTTCATAGAGTTGCTTTGAATATCTACATCGTGGAAACATTCCAGATCAATTCTTACAAATCAAGATATACTTAATATGTCATTCCTCTATTATTGTGCGTAGTGTTCTATCGTACACACAGAACCAAACACTGGAGCAATTGCAAAGGCTTTTCTCTTGCTATCCCACATTACATCTGCCTCACTAGGTCTTTACCTCTTTCTTTTCTGGATAGGTCTGATCAAGCACATGTGTTTCTCCACTTACTTGCAATGTGAAGGAAGTATTTACTGTTAGAACAGTTGGCTACTGTTCTTTAGTAGCAACATCACAGTATTGATTTAATACACACTGTTAGATTTTCTTTATGGAGTGAAAATAAGCTAATGATACCACAGCTGGAGCTAATTAATTTCAAGCTTTGCACAAAATTCAGGAACTCCCAAGTCAAACAAATGGTGATTGAAAAATATGTATTTTTAATAAAAATGTTATGAAATAATGACTAGCAAATTCTTTTAGGTCTCAAATTATGGAGTTTTTTTTATAATGATGGAGTACTTCACTGTGACATTTTTAGACTTTTATTATTTTTCTATTTTCTTGAATTTTCTTCTTCTTTCAAGTTTTGAAACCTCTAAATTTAAGAGCACTGGCAATCATCCGGTCTGTCCATGCCTAGTGTCACTGTCGAACAATACAACAGCAGTTATACTTTTCTATATGTCTACTTCTTTCTTCTTCACTGAGCCAGTCAAGACTTTGGTTACAAGCAACACCATTCTTGACCCCTGCCTTCTTGTTCTAGCACAGAAGCACAAGGGCAATATATCCTTTCAGAGGAAAATTACCATGAGAAGAAACTGCTAGTGACCCAGAATGGGATGTACAAGAGCTGACTTGGATACATCACTGTCCCTGTCTTCAGTTACCAGCAACACTCAGGGGTGCCCAGAGATGGGGGCAGATGGGGCAACTTGCCCCTGGCCCTTACTTAATTGGGACCTCAAATTGATTTTTCCACTCAAAATAATTATATAAAAAATTAATTTATTTTATAAATGTTATTATTTAAGCATCAACTCCTAAATAAAAAGTAATGTTCTACATTTATTTTTTTGTAACTTATAATACAATGTTGTAAGTAAACAGTTTAAAATTATAAAAAATGGACTAAAATTTCCTTTCTTCAATACAAATTGGTTTAAAAAATATTTAATCCAATTCCAATAAATTTATTGATTTATTTGACTATTAACACTGTCAAATTCAAGAAGACCTTGAAATTAAATTTGAATTTATTGACATTCTTTACATCATTTTACTTTAAATTGTTTATTCCTTACTGTAATTTTTATTCATCTATTGCTTTGTTTTTATAGTGAAACTCATTTCATGTATTTTTGACTCATATTTTTTCCTGAATTAACTCTAAATTTATTCCATTAATAAATAAAATAAAATGTACTTGACTGTGGTTGGAGTAAAATTAACTTTAAAATAAGTGGGGGAGTGGGAGTCTTAGAAATAAAGGGCACCCATAGATCTACTGTTACAGACATCTAGCTTTCTCTGGGTGCCCCTGGCAGCACTTCAGCGTTCTCTTCTGCTCAAAAGCCCAAGGCCAACTGGGCTTTACAGTGCACATCCACCAAGGGCTAAAGCTGCTGGTGGTACAAAGAGACTTCGCAGGATAGCAACATTCTAGAAAACTGGGAAATATTAGGGAATCTTTAGAATTCAGTCAAATGTTGGAGACAATTTTAAAACTGCTTAAACAACGCTGTTACAAATTATTATTTTCACAATTTTCTGTGATATATTCTGCAAATATTGTTAATGATGTATTTTTCTCAGCAACATCAGAGAGCTCACAAATTCATAACATGTTCTTGCCTTTATTTAACATTATCTTTAAATCATGTCAAATACTCAACAAATTTTAACACAGAACAGCAAAAACCTTTGTTTTAGAAAACCAAGACATGAGGGAAATATGTTCCAATAAAAGAAGGGCCACATCATCAGAAATGGGATGAAGATACAAGCAAGGACAGATTTGGAAACACCTGTCCTTGCCTGCATTTAAATGGCAACAAAACTGTAATGTCTTCATCTGCCTAGCAGCTCAAGGGCAACGTGTTCTCATGAAGAGTAGACACAAGAAACACAAGCAGCTAGTTTTGAAGTGAAGGTGGAGTCTATGATGGGGATGTGAGTGAAAATTTTTAACAAAAGTCCCAGAGTACCTGATATTTAAGTGTCACCAGCTGTTGGCATGATGGGTCAGCAAGTGAGAAGAGAAAAAGCTGGTTTGCCCTCATACTCAGTTGTCAAGTTCACTTCTGTGCACGGAACCCAAGAACAAAATACACTAATGAATAGCATGCACCAAGAGCAGAACTGTCTGGCTTTTGCCTGAGGATGAATCCAATTCAGAGTTTTGGAACTCCATTTGCATAGTTGCCAGTAACACCACAACATCACAGAGTTTACTTCCCATTCACAAGACCGAAACCACGATTTCCTTACATTGGACCAGCACCAAAAGCTGTAGTCATAATGAAGAAGAGAGTGAGGAGGGAAGGGGGAGAGCAAGAGCTGGTTTGTCCCCACATGCTATGTGGTTGGCAACATCACACAGTTCACTTGGGCTTACCACAGGCAACAGATCCTCAGCTAGTTGCAAGGGCAAAATCTACAGGCAGCCCAGAAGTCACAGTGGAGGTAGAATAAGAGTGGAGCCAGTGGCGTAGCGTGGGTGTTAGCAGCCTAGGACAGAGGAAAATTTCACTGCCCCCTTATTTAGGCATCGCAGTTTAAAAGACAAGCTTGAAAAATGTAGCAGATAGTCAAACATATAATTACATGAATAAAAAGTGAAAATAAAATATTTAATACATGGTTGAATGTATACATACACGAACAATAAAATTTTTCAACAAAGTTTAATAATTTAACAATCACTGCACGTACGTATGAGCACTAAAACTTTAGAAATGGCATTTAAGGGCTATAAGACAATTATATCCACTGATGTGGGAAGATAAATTAAGTAAGAATGTAAAAAGAAAGTTGTACAAGACTGTTGTAGAGAATATTGCCCTTTACGGATCTGAGGTATGGGAAATCACAAAAACAAGCGAACAAAAATTGAAAGCAATGGAAATGGACTTCTGGTGGTGAAGTTACAAACTGACTTTCATGGATAAACTTCAGAATGGAGAAATTAAACGTAAGGTGGAAGTAAGTTTTAATATAATTGATACCATAGAAGTGAAAAGACTAAAACGGTATAGGCACATGCGAAGAATAAACTAAGAGCGTTGGCCAAAAAATATTGTGGAAATGGCAACCAGCTACCCATCGAAGAAGAGGAAGACCCAGGCTTACATGGGGAGGAGGCAATGGTGAAAAGGGGATTGAGTAATTAAGACTACACCGATAGAGAGATGTGGAGGCTGGGATGCGAGAGATACCCTAGGGTGTAATATAACCCGCCATACTACTTCTGTCTAAAAGTGGTGCCCCTGCCGCTCCCAACACGCTACGCCACTGAGGGAATGAACGGTAGTGTTCCCACATCATGAAAGCTCCACTGCATCGGTGTGCTGCGATGCCTGGCAACTCTACAGAGTTCGCTACCAGACAGCAGCCTGAGGTCAAAACATCCTTTCGGCGGGCAGACATCAGGAGCAGAAACTGCTCGCCGTAAAACAAAGCCACTGGATGAGAGCTTGCCAGCTCTAGGAACTACACTGCCCCCCTCTGGGTGCTCAGCACCGTCTGAGACCAGTTCTCCGCCGCTTCCTAGCCAGATACTTAGGGCAGGCCGGCGCCGACAGGCGAAGCCGCCGCTGGAGCGAGAGGACGGTTGGGCGAGTTCTTCGGGGATTCCCCGGGGCTCGCTAGCGGGTCCACCGCCACCGTCTGCTCCTCGTCTCTGTCGTCGTCTGTGCCGTCGACCTCCTCGTCGTTGTCCTCCTGACGTCGTCCTCGTCGTCTCCTCCTCCTTCCTCCTCGCTGGCGCCGCGGCGCTTCGGCGCGCGGCGGCACGCCCTCGGAGCTGGCGCCGTCCGCGTCATCGCGCAAAGTGCGTGGCCTCTGCTGCGCAGGTGCCAGCCTGCGGGCAGGGACGGCCACTCTTTAATAAAAATACTGAAACTATGCATGCTTCAATTATTTTAGGTGGCACATCACTTCAGCTGTTACGGCGGCACTATGGACGTTTAAAACTCCCTATTGACGCTGATTAAACCGTTCAAGCGCCATAATAAATATATTGAAGTAGAATTATATAAAAATGGTTTGTCTGACATGTTTGACTGACAAAAAAAGTGACAGTTTAACAAAAAATAATAACACGCCACTCAGTGCATGATTGGTTAGTGATTGCGGGCGCCACAAACAACTAAGGTCATTAGTTACGTAAGTATAGTGCATGTTTCATTATCGGCGCGACACAATGGTAACAGTACTACACCTGCGGAAACAGCGGAGCTTAGAGCTGTGTCCTCGCCGAGTGATACCACGCTGTGGAGCATGCCTGGTTCGGAAATCCCGTACGACGACTAACCAGAGAAAAAACACCGCCACCTCCCGCGATAAAAAAAAATAAGCACTTTCGCGTACGGGAAACAAATACCTGTGCAGTTGACGCACGAATCCACCAATCAACTTCGTCACACCTCCCCGCCCGCCATAAGCCATTTCAACCCGCCATTACTCTCCAATCCTCACCCTCACCCCCACCCTCTCCCGCGACAAAAAAATGTGCACTACACTTACGCGATAATATCCTTAGCGTCCGGAATCAATCAACAACTAGCGGCGCGAACAAACAGTACCCATTCTCAATTATATGTTTCACACGTAAGCTTCCGCGGCTCGATTCCATAAATTCGGGAGCGCCGCGTCGTTGACTGACAGCCGACGTTTCACCTGACATGTCCCAGCATCTCCTCACGGCAGTTAAAACTCAGACTCCTCATTGCCCTGATGAAGCCTCCCGACATTGTAGGCAAACGTTGGCCTCTTCAGCAACGACGGCTCTCCCGGGTATCCAAGAATTTAATGATATATTCCCACTGATCGCCGGTCGCGGGTCTTCACCTGCTGCGGTCCCTTTGTTCGTCGTAGCCGGAGGGTCGGCCCCACCTACCCTGCAAGAAGCCACCCCTTACACCGCGGCGCGTGGCAGAGCCCTGCCGCTTGTATCGGAAGCGCGCCGCTGTGGCGCCGAGCAGCGAGCGCGGGGGCCGGGAGAGGTGGGGTGAGGGGGGGGGCGTTGCGTACCTCCTGAAGGCGGCGCCGCAGCGCGCGCACGCGAACGGCCGCTCGTCCGTGTTGTGGCGCACGTGCGCTCGCAGGTGCGCCGCAGAGCGAAGCGCTGGCCGCACTCGGCGCACGCGTGCGCGCGCTCCGACGGCGGCGCGTGCGAGCGCTCGTGGGTGCGCAGGTTGACGCGCTGCGCGAACCGCTTGCCGCACGCGCCGCACGCGAACGGCCGCTCGCCGGTGTGCACGCGCCGGTGGTTGTTGAGCGAACTCCAGTGCGCGAAGGCGCGCCCGCACTCGTCGCACGCGTACGGCTTCTCGCCCGTGTGCACGCGCTGGTGGCGCGCCTGCAAACACAATGCAAACACAGAAGTTAGGACTACGGGGAATTCATTTACAATGCGTTCGCATAAGCATAATACGTAAGACTTTATTGGTATTGTGGAAAGTTTTCGTTGGCATTTCTCATGAAATGATTATATAAGTCGTCATTGCCAACAATATTATTTATTAAAATGGCAGCTTTCGATGGCTTAGCCAGCATCATCAGTGCGTTAACTCGAAATTAAGAATCGGAAAAAGGAGCGAAGTTGATAGACGGACTAACGGCATGTGGACGATGGACACAGTCGATACCTCGAAATCCATTCTCACACCCAACCAATTGTAAACTAGAATTTCTCACAGTCAATAGAAAGTGTTATTTTGTTTACGTTTATGTTAGACATTGTGAATACTTCAGTCTATCACTTATGTTAATGTTTACGTCTATGGATTATGGTTATGTTTACGTTTCCATTGTGAATGGGCCTAAAGAGCATCACTGGCGGATTTTCAGAGGAGGCAAGGGAGGACAGCCCCCGCCTCCGTAACACTCACAAAATTCATTAACAACACTAAACTACTAAATTACGTATATTTTCTGAAATTAAAATTGTCCCAACTATGACTAAAATTGACATAAATGTTTACGGCAAGCGAGTAAATATGTAAAAGAAGTCATTCCTCTTGCTGCAAGTCACAATACAAGATGGAGCCAAGTAGTTCTATGCGTAAAGGCGACATTCGCCATTAGCCGAGCAGTGAGCTCCTGTTCGCCCAATCCGGAGCAGCTGATGTGTTCGGCGAATGTTCGCTCCCTTTGATGTGTCCTAAAGACCGACACGTGGTGGGTACGCCGTGCTAGTATGAGAAGTTATTTTGAGAATTTCAAACTGGCATGATGCGGTGTTTCCATTGTTGTATTACATGGTAACTCCTGAAAGTTTCTAGCAAAAGAAGTGTGAGGAATTCAAATCTTCAATTTCGAAAATTTGCAAAAATTACTAGAAACTGCTCTTATTAAAAAAAATTTACAAAACATCATTTAAATATCTAATTTTGAACAACATATTTCATTGAATACAAAATCCGTTGCATGAACATTGAAATTTTGCAATGTTAATTTTTTACAATTGTCGAAAATTCAGTACGCGCCATTTTTCTACACGTAAGCTTTCTCCTATCCGTGGAAACAATTTTAACGAAAAATAGGAGCATTTTTTAGAAAATTATTTTTATAAAATGCATAACAGAAATTTTGCAAAAACCACTCTGTATTTTTTAATATACACGACTTTTACCACCCGACCAAACAAGGAAAACATGTCTTTCTTTAAAATTGTTCTTTTGTAATGTTACATTTTTGCTATTCTCGAAATACAAGCTGGGTATTTAACGAAACCACAAACATATGGCTGAATCATTGTTTTAATTTCTGGGCTCATACAGTAGTCAAATAGATTCTGAACTTAAACGGTTAATTAAAATGAAAAATAAATAAATACATAAATAAATAATTATGATAAAAATTATGTGATAGCCACTAATAATATTTAAGTCTATCTGCATTTCTAAATTATCATTTCTCTCAAGTTTTAGTTACGTTAATACCAGTAGGTCATATTTCTTTATCGCAAAGAATGTCTGAATTATCAGTAATGATTTGAGAGAATTTTTGCGTGTTTATGATAATACTATTCCAAAAACTATATAAGTACTGATTCGAAACTGTTTGTAGGAGATTGTTCAGAGCCGAGTTTTTGAATTCCCGCGTTACTCGTACCCCTGGCCCCCGGCCAGCCGTCTCCCACCGCACCCCACCCCGCCACGCCCCATCGTCGCAAGTTCTCTTGTCCACCGGTAGGTCGCATACCTCAAGTATCTGATGATAGACTGTTTATGGCATTTTTATATTTTTTGCAACAATAAACTACTTAGTGCTTAATTACGTTTTCGATGTAATATAATTTATCTAATTTACGTAAATGTATTTTATGCCTATAAGCTTGTAAATATAATATTCTCACGATTTCAAAACCGAACATCCGACAGAGTTTGTGTGGTGCTAGAATACAAATTGAAATTCCACACTCAAATTATTTAGAATCATACTTCACAGGATCATTTCTGTAGTATTCTCGCTTCTAGGCCCTAAACCAGGCAGAACCGCAACCAGATGAGGATTGTGAAGGCACCTCTTCCTGAGCGTGAGGCTCTATGGCAGCTTGGTGATTTAACGATGATCGTTCACCTGAAGTCTTCTGACTGCAGGGATGGAAGAGGAGCATTCTGAGTGGTTCCAAACATTCAGAATAAAACAAATAGTGTATGGGGCGACTTTTGAAGTAACCTTCATAATTATTAACTATAACGATGAACTCCAAATACCAGGCGCGGTTGAAGCTAAGGCTCATTTGTGATGTCGGCCCTGATGATCAATAACTTTTCGTAATACCATCTTACAAGAAAACATTTAGATAAACATTCTTGCTTTTTAATACGTAGGAGAGTAACGTCATCTTCCATTTAAAATCGATTGGATAGTTGTTTTGGCGCGTAACAGGAAGGCCAAAATTGATTATTATAATTTTTGTTGGAAGGAAACGAATACTTAAAAAAATGTATTTTTAGGGCATGTCGACGAGACGAACTTGTGTCATTGACTTGATGAAATAGAAACCAGGAGCACTAGAGTGCTAGTAACACCGAATTGCAGAAAACAAGGGGGGGGGGGGAAAGTATTTACTATAATACGTACAGTTGAAAATTATTCGTGGATATTATTTGTGTTGTGTGTGCATGGTGCATGTCATTTATGTAGTTTTTTCATCTTTTATCCAACTTTAATAAATAGTTTGAAGATCACTTGGCTCCTACACGGCCGGAGGCCATTAAGATAACCTTTTCCTTCCTCTGTGAGGTTGCGTTATACAGATATATTAACGGACAATATTACGAAAAGGACTGATTAAGATCACATGCATGTTGTGACATGCTATGCAATACATGAATTCCACCCCAGGGTGTAAAATTTAAAAAACCATCAACCTAATGATACATGCATCTGTGAGCTACTGGTATAATGAAAATTGTTTTAAAAAATGAAATAATTATATAAGTCGTCATTGCCAACAGTATTGTTTATCGTAAGAGCAGCTTTCGATGACTTAGCCATCATCAGTTTTCTACTGTACGGAAGGCACAAGACGACTAGTGGTAGCATATAATTATTTCATTGTAAATGACAACGAAAATTCATCACAATACCAATATAAAAAATTAACTAGCGGAGCTACAGAATGGAACAGACTTTCTCGTACTAGTTAGATTTCTCATTTGTTTGGTCTGGGCTAGTCTTGACACATACTTTTTTCAGCTGCCATTATTCGTAGCCCAATGAACATTTGCACAATTTTTCGGTTTCCTAATAGTAGAACCGAAATATTAATTTGAGAATATTATAGAAGAATAAAACCTCGTTCTAAATGAAAATTTTCGTTGTAACATTTCGAGCGTTTTTTAAAGAAAATGTCGTTTCAGCGTTACTGTAAATGCGAATCACAGAAAACTTTTGAGTTTTCGAGAAAGTTTATACGACACCGTTTATAAGCAAACACAGTTTAAGTTTAAAACACACGTACTCATAAATGCAATAATATGAGGATCATTCCACGCAAAAAAGTAGGTTTTATGACCTCGATATCTTTAAATTCAAAGATACTGCAGTATGTAATTTTCACTGGCCGCACATATAAATCAGTGATAAATTTTAAATTATATAGGCCATAGTAACTTAACAATGAGCATTTTAAATTTTCTCAGAGCGAACGCCGATGTTTATTATCAGTTTTGTCACACACAAATATTATTTGAAAATTGGTAATTTATCTAACAGGAGAATATAATGTGTAGGAGCGGATTTTGAAGACCTAAAACAGCGCCAAAAATGACCAATAAAATCAGGAGCAGCCTGGTCCACATGAAAGACCGCGTTGATCCACGTCAGAACGCCGGGGTGTACGAAATCCCGTGTACTTGCGGGTTAGTTTACATCGACCAAACGGGTCGCTCTATAAATAAACGCATGCGTGAACACATGCTCAATCATCGGCTAAAGAGCACCCACAAATCGGCCTTAGCACAACACGCCGCCGAAACCGGCCACCTCATTGAATTTAACAAGACCCGTACGATTAGCTCAGAGGACCCGGATAGCCTAGATAACGCAAACTCCGGCCGCGGAAGCCTACGCAACCATAATCTTACTCCTACCCACAAACGCGAAAAAAGGTTGGTTTTAGAATTATAAAGATTTGTTTAATTTATTGTCGGTTTTCATATTTTTTAAAGAGAAAATTCTTAATAATACTTTACCCATTTAAAATATATCTCTCATTTTACTGCTATGCAGCTAGTGCTTTCCAGAATACTCTTAATTTTACTCTATGTATAAATTTTGCCAAAACTTTATTGATTCTTGTAGCTAAACCATTCATGATATGACTCTCATATTTGATAGATTAACTTTTCATTATAAAAAATTAAAATATTACATTAACATTAACAAATTAGAAAACAAAAATTATCTGAAAACTCATTGTCAATATCTTTAAATTTTGAATGGAATGTGAACAAATCGTCACTAATTAAATATTACGTGAGAAACAAGTAAAAAAAAATACATTTTTGTACTTTTTGGGAAAAAGAGAAAAATGGCGTTTATGATATCTCAGACTACATTTAGCACTATCACAACCAAACGTGTAAAGAAAAAATTATAGCGGTTTTTGATAAAATATTAATTTCGTAATTTTTTTAAATTGTACATGTCGCACGCAATTGCGCAAAAAATACTATAATTTTCGAAAATTCAGAGTTAACAGTGAAAATCGAATCGATGGCCCCTTGTAAGTGCATTTCACTCTATTCTCACAAAAAATTTAAAGAAAAAATTTGGAGCCAATTTTGAGAAAATTTGAAAATGCTTCACGTAAAGTACCCTCAAAAATGAATGAACGTTGAAAATTTTGAAGAAAATGGTGTTAAAGCATTACCGTAAATACGAAATTTGAACCCCTTTTCACAGAAAACTAGGGTTTTCGAAAAACTTCGTATGAAGTCATTCCAAGCACTTTAAGCCACCAATGAAACAGAGTATACAAATCGCTGGAAATGTGCATATTAATAACGTGAGATATATTTGAATAAAATTACATTTGTGTAATTTTCGAAAAAACAAAAGAATACAGCAAAATAAATTATACGTCACCTTAAACAGTGCAATTAGCACTATCCGTTGGAAAAGTTCGAAGAAAAAAAACTGAAGCCACTTTTGGGAAAATGCCGTACTTTGAGCTCATTTTCATAGAAAACTTGAGTTTTTCGAGAAACTTTACCTGACATTATTTAAAGCGCTTATATTCAAATACATTAATGTGAACAAGTTGCTGCTAATGTAAATATAAACAACGGGAGAGACAAGTAAAAAAAACAACTTTTTTTGGCCTTTTTTGCGAAAAAATAAAGAATAGAGCAATGTGGCGTTTATGTCATCATATATAGTGCATTTAGCACGATCTTTACCAGAAGTTTAAAGAACAAAAATTGGAGCCGTTTTTGAGAAAAGAATGTATTTTTAAGATTTTAAATTGCAAAAATTGCAAACATGGCTCGAAAACTACTAAAATTATCCAAAACATTTACATGACCTTCTTGAAAGAAGCAGCATGTTCATTTGAAGGAAAAAATCTCTCTTTAATTTTGTAGTTGTAGCAAGACGCAGAAAATAATTCAAACTTTTGAAATTTTCGAAAATTTAGAGTTAACCGTAAAAATTGGACCTATGCCACCTTTACAAGTGGGTTTTACTCTATTCTTACAAGAAATGTACAGAGAAAATTTGGAGCCGTTTTTCAGATTTTTTAAAAAATGTCCGGGGGAGCTTCATGTAAAGTACCACCAAATTTTAAAGGCTTTTTCAAAATTTCAAGGCTTCGACTTGAGCTAGCTGTGTTTCTTCAATTTGGAAAAAATCCTACGTAAGGTTTAGGCGCTAGTAATGTTCACCGACGGACAGACGGACGGACGTTTTGCCGTTAATTGCTTTTTGGTATCAAGGACTCACAAACTAGGGATTCTGGCCACACCACGTGTTAGAGGATTTTTTTTCTTCATTTAGCAATCGGATTTAGCTACTTTTTCGTTGTCAGGGCCCGGCAACGAATTTTTATTCTGCCGAAAATTCGCCATTTTTATCGTGCAACATTACATAACTTTTACTATACTACGTGTGCTACTCCGTATACCATATGTATACGAGAAAGTGGTGTATACGAGTAGTATAGTACCAGATGTATACGAGTGGTGCTATAGGATGGCACAGTCTTTCCCGTATTAGTTTTCCATTTCCTTTGGACTCGGCTAGCTATACGAATTTGCTACACACATGAAACTCAGATCTTACTGAATGATTTTATCTACGAAACAAGTATAGTACCACTGACACATCTTTTTGTTCAATCACGTACGATTTTGAATTGTCTGATTTACTGAACGAAACTAAATCATGTTTAGTGAATCTTACTACAGTAATAATACTACTTCTACTACAGAATAATTGTATTTACATACAGGAATAATTTTGTATTTACTACATGCTCGTTTACTAAACATGTTTAGTACAGTCTTCGTTAAATATTTCTTTCAGTTTATGAAAACATAGATGAATTTCTAAGAAAACATTTTCGACGTTTGCCGACCCAATTTTATAGCAACACTGATGTTTCTATGAAAACATCGATGTCTCTGACGGTCATGGATGTTTTGATAGCATCGATGTGTCTATGAGAGCACGGCTGTTACGTTACACTGCATCACGCGAGTACTCTGCAAACGTCGATGACCGAGTTGCGCGCTTACCATGAGCGTGGAGTTGCCGAAGGTGGCGCCGCACACGCCGCAGGCGAAGGGCCGCTCGCCCGTGTGCACGGGCCGGTGCGCCGACAGCTTGCTGGCGCGCGCGAAGCCCTTGCCGCAGTGCTCGCACACGAAGCGCGGGCCATCTGCGCACCACACACGCGCGCGCGCGTCAAAGAGGGAAGGTGAATGGGTAAATGAGGAAAGGAGAATTGGTAAAGGGAAAGGAGAATGGGTAAAAGGGAAGGAGAGTGGGTAAATAAGGAAAGGAGAATGGGTAAATAAGGAAAGGAGAATGGGTAAATAAGGAAAGGATAATGGGTAAATAAGGAAAGGAGAATGGGTAAATAAGGAAAGGAGAATGGGTAAAAGGGAAGGAGAGTGGGCAAAAGGAATACGAGAATGGGTAACAGGGAAAGGAGAATGGGTAACAGGGAAAGGAGAATGGGTAAAGGGGACAGGAGAATGGGTGAAAGGGAAAGGAGAATGGGTAAAAGGAAAAGGAGTATGGGTAAAAGGGAAAGGAGAATGGGTAAAAGGGAAAGGAGAATGGGTAAATGGGAGAGGGAAGAAGAATGGCTAGTCGAGGGAAGGGCAATAGGCAATTGAGAGAAGGGCAAAGGGGAAAAGAAGAAAGGACAAAGGGTAAAAGAAGAAAGGACAAAGGGTAAAAGAGTGAAAGCGAATGGGTAAAGGGAAACGACAGTAAAGGGATTAGAAAGAGAGGTAGATATACGCTCGTGTTTTCTTGGGTCCCGGAAAACCCATCCCCACTCCTTTGCTAACATTATTTGAATTAAGAACAAATGATGGCAACGATTTCCTTTTGTTTCCTTTTCGTGTTTTTTCAGTGAATGTTTCATGAAATTACAATAACACACCAAAACAAGTTTTTATTGTATCATCAGTTCATGACGAAATTCACTTCTGCAGTAAAATCTGTTTTTCAAACTCTGAAAATTATCCCAAACTTCTTCGACTTCTCAAAACTGAAGATGGAAGATCGAAGCTGAAGATTACATTTCCCCCTAAAATAAAGACTATATATTAAATATCATTTTATGTTAATAAATTTTATTTGTACTTGTAAAATTCATTAAATAAATAAACATAGCCATTGAAATGTTTTAGCATTTTTTTAAAAAAATAGGTAATTTTCCCCTTATTTTAAGTAATTCTATAGGTAATTTTTAAAGAGCATTTAGGTCATCAGTATCTGAACTCTGGTCATTAGTCCCATGAGTAGTGCATATCACAGCCGAGAGATGGCCGTCTTCCTCCATCGACCTACAGTTGGCTTGTGGGACATTTTCTCACTCATCTTCCCCAGATTGACGCCGTTCCAGCTGTGACAAGGTCTAACCTCCCGACTGCGCTCCCATCATATGTAGTGCATGTAAGTGTGTGAGAATAGGGGTGAAATGTAAATGTGAGGAGTGAGGATAGGAAAAAGAAGAGCAATGACCATACAGAAATGAAAGACACCAAGGGGACGATGCAACAGTTTCCTCGAAACACAGTCCTGTCAAACGGATTGCCCACACAACTAGGGGCTCGATAAGTCCTTGATTAGTGGATTTTTCTCTGGTTCTCGTCTCTCAGAAGACACCACTCGTCGGGTTGCGAATTAACGATATGACGGCGACATCAGAATATCGTTCATTTCCAAAAGGCTTCCTTGTATTTTACATGTCTGAAGTGGTGGGGCGGGGAGGGGCAACGTAGCAAGCACGTGGAATGGAGTGGACGGGCCGGATGATGGTAGAATACACGAGGCTAGGGCGTCGCGGCATGTCGTTAGAGAAACACAGGAAATAACAGTTGACAGACTGATGTTTGTAATGCTTAGACCCATGATGTAGTTAATGTCATCCCTGAATATGCATGTGTTTCACCTCACCTGGATGGTGGGATCCGACACCAAACACACTTCGGCTTGCGGGAGATTTCCCTCTCCGCGAGCGTGGGACCGCCCCAGCAGGACCTAAAGTGTGAAGAGAAAAGAGGGACGGGATAGGAGAGAAAGGTCACGCGGTCAAGGGCCGTTTGTTAGGGTACTGCTCCGGCATTCGCCTGGTTTTGATCGGACAACTACCGATCATAACAACCGGCCGCTCCTCCAAACAGCAGCTGAATTAGACCTAACCATGTAGCTAGTCCACCGGATCGTGAATCGAACCATACGACCTGCTGGTCAGAGGCACAGCTGTGACATCTGGGGGACGTGGCACTGACCTTGCGGCGGGTGGGCGGCGCGCGCGTGCTCGGCCAGGGCGGCGGCGTGCGGGTAGCGGCGGCCGCACAGCGCGCACCCGAAGGGCGTGTCGCGCGTGTGCGCGGCGCGGCGGTGGTCGCGCAGCGTGGCGAGGCGCGTGAAGGCGCGCCCGCACTCGCCGCACGACAGGCGCGCGTCCGCCGCGTGCACGCGCAGGTGCTCGCGCAGCGCAGACGCGCGCGTGAACGCCGCGCCGCACTCGGCGCACGCGTGCGGCCGCTGGCCCGTGTGCGACAGCAGGTGCGTCTGCGGGAGGAAACGCAAAGATGCACTAAGTCTTGCTCGTTTGAGATCCATACATCGACAACAAACATTTCCAAAATAAGAGGTTATGGTACTTTAACTGTATGTAATAATCGGTCACTTCTCGCATCAATCGTGCTCTATCAATTTATGAGCTATGGTTCGAATAGCGGAATCTCAATGGCGGCCTCATTTCTATAATTAGTCTTATTCCCTCCCCATCCAAGCGGCCCGGGTTTGCACTGAAGTTGCTCGCGCGAGGCTCCCGAGGTCACTCAAAGTGCAAAATTGCTGTGCAAGCCTGCTCTAAAGCCACGCACGCGGGAGATTCCAGCCCTGTAAATGGATTTACGAGCAGCGTGTGTTCGTTTGAAGTAGATGTGTTTTTTTACTGTGTCTATTTTGCGTGATGGAGCAACATGCCGACATCAAATTTTGCTTCAAATTGGAAAAAGTTGTTCCGAAACATTTGAAATGTTGAAAATCGCAAATGGTAATAATTACGGGGGCGGAGTTTGATGACCTAAAACAGCCATAATGTTCAATAAAATGCTTTAAAAATAACCTAAAACTAAGAAAAATTACGTAAAAAATTTGATCAAAACCACTTCAGATGAATAACTTGAGCTGCTGGGTAAGTTTCTGATGGCATTGTTCTAAAGCGAAAAGAATAAATGACGTTTCATTAAAACCCGCCCCTAGTAATGATTGCTTAAGCCGAAGCAAGCTTTTCGACTGGTACGTTCGGTTTAGGAACTTAGTAGCTGTACGACAATGCACGAGAGGGGAAAACCTTCAACGACGACGACCAATGAGAATGTCGAACATGCGCGCGTCGAACTGTCTTGTAATCCGCGAATTAGTGTCAAATAGTGAACGCATCATTCTTCAACGATTCCCTTGATCGGTTTTTGACGAGAATTCGACACGTAAGCAGTGGCGGCTGGTGCCCCAACAGACTGAAGGTTGCGCCACCACCGAATGAAGGAAATGTAATTTCCAAAATTCAAAATATAAAAATGTAAGCAATTCAAATTAATTAAAACTAAGTTAAATGAAAGTCTATACTGAATCATTACTAACGTAATTTTTTGAGTCGTGACCGAGTCAGATATATAATACACCTCCGCGCTCGTGGTTCTGGCTTTGGTTTCCACTGGACACTAACTTCGACTCCAGCACAGCGCAACAAGAACTAATAAAATTAATCCCAGAAGAGGAATTTTCCAGGTCATATACTATTTCACCAGGTTCAATCTCTTTTATTCTTTTTGCAAAAAAAAGTAGTCTCGGAACTACGTGAATGGACTGTAAGTTGGAAGAAGTACGGTGACAACCCCAACTTTATAGTACGATCTATTTAGTAAACGTAATCATCTGTTGCGGTTTCATCCAATCGGGAGCTTATATGTCGCTACAGTGACGTAACTATGGGGACGTTCAAGCTCCCGATTGGATAAAACCGCGAACAGCTGATTTACGTCAAGTGCATGGTTAAATAAATCCTAGTATAATCCCCCACGTAATGGAAGCATTGCAGCATATACTTCGATTTTTCTAAAGTGGCCGATGACAATAGGATACTGTTATACCTCTTGCCTTATAAAATGATTTTTTTCTAACTAATTCGTGAACGTCCTTCTCAACGGGGCTCTTGGTATCAGAAATGTGCTTACCGCTGTTAAAAATACTCATTTTATAAGGAAGGAGGAGTAACAATGACCTAATGCCATCAGCCACTTTTTTTAAAAATCGTAGTGTAGGACTCTTCCTTCCTTCGCCGGAGACTGGAACGCGCGCTGCACGTTCTACCTTGAGGTTGCCCGACTGCGTGAACCGCTTGCCGCACAGCTCGCAGCCGAAGGGCTTCTGCGCGCCGTGCGTCAGCTGGTGGCGCAGCATGTTGGAGCGGTGGCGAAATGCAGCCCCGCACGTCGCGCAGCTGAACGGCTTCTCGGGGTCCTCCGCGACGGGGGATGCCGTCCGCACCACGTCGTTCGCGCTCGCGCCGTTGCCGCCGCCAGAGCGCCACAAGCCCTCCTGCCCGGACGGATCGTCCGGCGTGATGTACTCCGCTGTCGACAGATAGCACCAGTTGGTACGAGTGGGCGCCAAATTGCGAAAGAAACGAAACCATTAACTCGAATTCGGAGACCCTTTATTGCTTAACAAACTTTCTTCCTGTTGAACATGGGTCCAGAATGATTTTTTTCAACAAATTGAGGCCTTGGTTAATAAAAATGTACAAATATTTTAATAGAAACTTTAGTTCTATTTCATTTTTAGTTATTTTGACCACCTACATTCAATAATAGTATACTATTGTGTTTTGCAAAATAAAGATATTAATCTGACCAATGTCCAATTAATTTGGTGCTGCAAACACACCTATTCTTTATATTCTACTATTTTGTAATTCTCTAATGCAAGATGTTTATTTCCTCTTAAGGAAATAAAATTCATTGTACCTAACATAGACCTTGAAATAACATGCAGTGTTCTTGCCAGTGGATTCCCTACACACATCCCTACACACGGTAGCCTGTAGAGGAGTGTCCAGGGTGCTACGTTAATACTATATTAAATGAAATTGTTTCACTGAACATATGAAAGTGAAATTCTTGAAAATAGTAAACTAAGAGGCCAGTGAAAACAACAATCAAATGGGAGGTTGTCATCTTGGACTTTGCCAAAGTTAAATGTGGGGGGAACAACATGAAGTTCGTGGGGAATGACTGGCTGGGTGCTGGTAGAGTTGGCTTCCACCAAAGGAAGACAGAAGAAGAAAAAGTCCTTGATTGGCAGTAATATTCTGTTTGTGTTTTTTTGGTATCTTTTAAACCAAAATGTATTCTAATTACCCAAACAAAACAAAATACATTACTAATGTTGATATGATGTTGCACTTGAAACTATTAACATTCAATGACTTATTTTTTACTTTATAACAATATTATAATTAATAAAAATATAAACAACTTAAAAGATGCTAAAACAATATCAAAGAGAAAATACAGAAAAAAAGAATAAAAGACAATCGCCACACACCTTTTGACACGCTTTCATTTCATAATTAAATCTCTTTCATCTCTGTCTTGGCCCATGATTTTCTTTCAATGATATTTGGCAGAATTTTGTATAAGGATGTAATGTAAAATAACATGATATACTATGAGTTAATGTAGGAATAGAATAGAATAGGCCAAAGAAATGATTTCTTATTGCTACAATAAAATGGAGAGAGAGGCTGAATTTAGAAGCTTCAGCTGCAATGACAAAGTTCAGTCTTTACTTAAAAAGGACACTCACACTTTTTTAGGGGTGCAAATATTCATATGAAAGTTTAATAGAATCATAAAGACAAAGTCCTTCATATAATAGATAACGAATGCATATTAATGATCAAAACTACTCACCTTCCGTGGATGCTTCTTTCTGGGTAGCTGAGGATCGTGTAACATCCGACACCGATCCCTAGCGCACAAAACTTTTTTGGTTTATTCCGTTTTTACAACATGAAAACTAGTTTCATGACTACATACCTTACAGAATTTGGATTACAGTAATTAGCATTCTTCTGCCTACATTTAGAGTGCTTGTACACATTACCCAAAAGCAGCGAGAGAAAGGGAGAGAGAAAGAATAACTGGGATTGACCATTCTCTTGTCAGAGACAACTCTGTAGTTATAGGCACGTGAATGTTACTGGACAGATTTTTACTACTAACACTACTTTCCTAGTTATTAAGTATTAACAAGGATCAGTTCATCACTTACCCCACCAGTGTCATCCACTTCTTCCATTACTTCTTGCTCTTTCTTCACTTGTATATCAGCTTCTCCTCCTCCTTCATTTTTCATATCACTATCTTCACTTACCACTTCACCCCTTCCCACCACAGTTTCCTCCTCCTCCACATCAGGAACCTCCACTTTAATTTCTGGCAGCAATATCCTCATCGGCTGATCACACTCTTCCTACAAAGCCAACATCTCATAAAAAAAATACTCAGAATTCCTATTACTAATTTATCCACAATTGGACAAAAGATATCTGACCATTACACTCAGTAGCAGAATGACTGTGGGCCAGCTCCCCCAAAAAATTTATCCTGGGCCCTTTATAAAAGTATAATGCTAACACACATAGTGTTAGTACCTTAATTAATAAACATATGCCCTACAAATGGGCCCTCTTTTACCCAGGCCAACTCACATTGCAAGCACAAACGTTATGCCACTGATTACACTAATAACTGTTCTATTTAGTAACTTGAATGATAGAGCCAGATAGCAAAATACAAGTTAACATTATTATAAACATTACTCATTATTAAATCATTCCATTTTTGTGAAAATAAAGGAGTTTCTCAGTAATGACTTCTGACATAATTTATAATTTTTATACAACAGTTTGAAATTGAAACCAATTTAAATTTCTAAAAGGTGAAAGACCTGATGAAATTGTGCAGCCTGTCTATTCAGCCACATTGACTCGCAAACCTTTGGATATTTCTACATTAAACAGGTAACTCATTTTCAAATGATATCTTCAAGTGATGCAATTGTCCATTAAAAATATCTACTGTTTTGTGAAACTCCTGTTCACATTTCAGAAGCATATGTCAGACGTAAAGAAATATGAAGTTTTATTTTAACACCATTTTCGGAGAGGTCTTCTCAAGAGTTTAATAATCTAAATTTAATACTTCCATATAAATCAAAAAGATAATTTAAAAATTGGATTCTGGAAAAAATTGAATCTGGATCTTTAAATAAATACTTCGGTTTGAAATTTCAATCATTAAATGTACTCGCACACTAATAAAATAACATACATTAAGAATACACGATTCTCCTCACAATAAGCAAGTTTCATTCATTACGCAATATTTTATTTAGCAAATACTGTATTTTATCCTCACACAAAGCCTAACAAAGAGGTATAATGGTTGAAAAATTATAATTTTTATGATACTGACTAAATCATGTCGACATAGCTAATATGGCAAGAAATATTTCTTTCATATATTCACCACGAATGTTCTCTCAACATACATCCTATTTGTTTCATTGAAGAATTTAATAAAAGCAGTAAGTTTCTCATATTTAAAACGTACCTTTTCATTACTACTATTCAGAGATTCATTTGGAGTCTCCTGTTTCACCTACAAAATCAAATACAATGTTATGATAAACCTCAAAAGAAATTCAACAGCCTTTCAAGTAATCCCTACATTTGAATATCTACATCTGGTAATGAATATTTTGAATTATCAGATCACTATCACTGTCAATGAAATGTCACTCACATAATTTATCTGATCCAAAAACAATTTTATTAATTCATTTTCATTTAATTTCAATTAAAAATATTTATATAGAACAATAATTGCATTAATTATTATCTACTTTTTAAAACACTTCTTAGATTCTGTACAAATGCATATAAAATGTGTAACCAAAATTCACTTCTCACTTACATCAGCTGAATAACCCTTATTTGGGTCTTCGGGCACTAGAATCTCTTCTTGTTTCATTATGGCCTGTGAATAATTTTTACATTTTAGAAATATTTCATTTCTAAGTACACAATAACAATATAAAGTAATATTACTGACGATAAAGAAAAAATTCCAATATAATCTTTCAAAACAATGAAAAAATTTCATTCAACGAATATGGTTACAAACGTATTACAAAACTGAAAAGGAAGAAAATGTCGATAATTTGACATTATCTATTGAATGAAAGTCAAGCTACATATTCATTCCCAAATGAACCATATTCTAGGACATTACAAATGGTTCTCTAACCTCTAACCGGCATGGTGACAACTTACCTGCTCTTCAGTCATGACAGAAGTTGAAATTGAATATACGTAAATCACTTCATAAGCTATTCCCGAGGATAAAAAATACCATACAAATGTAAAGAAAATAATAATTGAATAATTGGCTGAATCTTCAAGAGCAAATCTTTAAATGCACCATCGACTTCATAACGTAAAACGATACATTGATATTTGTCGATAGAAGTCGATTTGTGGTTTGCGCTCTATACGAAATTCGATTCATGCATCGTAAAATAATTTTACAATATGTCAAAGATGTGCTCCTGCGAAATTAAAATTATTTTCAACCGTCTTGTCACCACTTGCTTGTAATGTGTCTTTCAGACAATACTTAAACAATATGGAACTGCAATTCGGTTCATCACCAAAAGAACCTGGAAAAAATATGCGAGAAAACGCTCGAGTCAGAAAAATTCCCATCCCATTATTATTATATCAATTATAGTACAGCACAGGTATTGCTAATTAACACTTCTAAAAGACTTAGAGAAGAAGATATATGGGGGGGGGGGTCCAGCCCATCGTTAGGGGGGGGGGCATCGTAGATTTTTGTTAAATAATAAACAAATTTGTTATTATATTATATTGTACATTATATTTGTAGTGTGTTTATGTACTATACAATATTATTATTTACACAATTACATAAATAATTTTTAATCAATTTTGCCAAATAAAGGATGGTAACAAACGAAAACTGTAGGTCTTTAGGGGGGAGACATCCCCTCTCAACGATATCAACGAGCATGATATCTACACTATTCTCTTAAGCGACCTTGACGCTATCCGAGGACAAAGTTTAATAGAAAATTTGGACCCGTTTTTAATAACATTTTGAAAATGGTTTTGAGGCTTCATGTAAAGTACTTTCAAAATTCAAAACATGTTTGAAACTCCCAAAGCCTCGAGTTCGTTCAGATCGATCGGAGAATATCTATTTGGGAGAATATCGGCTAAATTGTTTAGACTCGAGGGTAAACGGCAGACGGACATTTTATCGTTAATGGATTTTTAATATAAGGATCTTCAAACATGGATTCTGGCAACACATATTAGAGGAAGTAATTTACTATATAGTATGGGAACAGGATCAACTTTTTCGTTATCAGAGCCCAGCAATAAGAGTTTTTATGTTCAAAATTCACCGTTTTCGGGCGCACGATAGCAATACTTTCTTTTCTTACTTTCGGAAGGCCGAGAAAGTACAATGTTTCTGCAGTTGAAATCAGTGGCGGCAGATGCCGCAACAAATTGGAGGTAGCAGTACAGTACAAATTACAACTCCATTGAATGACGGAAATGTAATTTCTAAAATTTAGAACACTAATATATAATAAAATGTAAGCAATTTATTAAATTAATTAAAACAGTAAGTTTAATAGCACATTTTTCGATTAACGGGGGGTTATACAGCTGTGCAACTTAATCATGAGCCGCCTCTCGTTGAAACAGATGCACCATACGCTGCTCAAATATTTCAACCGGTAAATTATCTTCTCATCTTTCAGCTGAGCTTTTGTGCTTAGCAGGCTTCCTATGAATCTCCAGGGAACGGTTTGTTTTTTAAATTATATACATTTGGCTTTTATATCAAACACATACAGTACTAATATTAATCGTTTCGTAAAAGTTGTTTCGCTTGATGACCGTCAAAATATTCGTCAAATTTCGATCGATCGATACACCCTTGCTTCGCGGGCACGACTTCAAACTCAGCCGCGTGTATAGGTATTAGGTATTTAAAAAATACATGGGTCCATTGGCAGCCTATGGTTACTATGGTGACGTTCAAGCTCCCAATTTATTGTATTGCTTCCGAAGTATAAAGGAGCGTCGTTTCTACCCCCAAACGTGTCAGTGAAAAGTAACGATGCGTCAAATATTTGATGTGCTTGAAATTGACGATTAAGACCAATTTGACGAAAGTTGGTGAAATCAGCGGCAACACTAGAACTCACCAGAGATAGATAATATAGTGGGCTTGTGACACTAGCATTTAAACTGTGAACTGAGAATAGGGCGAGTTCGTATTTCTTGACGCACAACACCGTCAAGATCTCCGTATGTTCATTTTTTTCGTGCTGTCAATCGCGACAGTCACTCTTTATTATCCTCGGAAGTGATGGTGTAGGATGACATCAGCTACAACGCGCGTTCGTCTTTGGTGTTCGTGGAGGGATCATTGACCCGCGCGGGAAAATCCAGTACGTTATTTACTAGGCTGTCCGGGTGACGCGGCGTCACCCGGACAGCCTAGTAAATACTGACTCCGGCCGCGGAAGCCTACGCTCTCATCCAGTACGTTGCGCGGCCAGTGCTGAAACCTTTCTTGCAACGGGAACGTGTGCTGATCTAGCAGGACAATCTCCACCCTCACACTGCCCGCGATGTTCTTCAACTTGCCTGGTCGCCACGCTTGCTGGATCGAGCATGTGTGGGACGTGACGGGCCGACGCCTGACCCCTGCTGCGACTCCCACAAGTCTGCCAGCTCTGCGTGAGGCGTGCGCAGGGGTGTGCCGCAGGGCACTATTTTGCCACCTGTACGATGGGATGCCAGCTCACAATCAGGGCTGGTCCTTTTTTGTTAATAGATGGCGGACGTTTTGCAGCAGAGAGAGCCAGCACACTCCGGACACAACAGAGCGAAAGTACAGACTTGAATTTACTCCCTAAGAGTAGTTACAGCAATAATGACCAGACCATGCACCACACGTACGCAGATCCAAATATGGGCATCCACACTGAAAAACGTTTTAAGTGTTCAATTTGCAATAAGATGTTAAGTGGAAAGGGAACGTTGAATGGGCACGTGCACACCCACACTGGTGAGAAACCTTTCCGGTGTTCTACCTGTGAGAAGCCCTTCACTAAGAAAAGTAACTTCGATAAGCACATGCGCATCCACACTGGTGAGAAACCTTTCCAGTGTTCCGTCTGTGAAAAGGCCTTCACTCAGAAAGGAGCCTTGGATAGCCATATGTGCACACACACTGGCGTATAAACTTTTCAATGTTTAGTATATGAGAAAACCTGCACTCAAAATGAGACTTTTGATGACACATGCATACCCACGTTTGTGAAAATATTTTCGGTTATTCACTTATCAGAAGACATTCGCCAAAAATGGTCTTGCGCTACTTCTTTAGCACCTACACAAGCAAAGGTCTTTTGATTGGCGTTTTCAGACTAACAACACGGGTTTAGAAAATCATTATCTACGGAAACTGCCATTTTTCTCTTTTCTTAAAGATGTTGCTTCATCAATGGACCAAATTGAAGCCCCCTGTGGAATATTTTTAGATCTTTCGAAAGCTTTATTGATCATAACATCTTGCTTACAAAATTACCTTATGGAATTCGTGGTATCACCCTAGATTGGATAACCTTGTACCTTAAACATGGATCTCAAAGACCGTACTGGCACGCAAGGACATTGTTTATTAATCTTTCCAACACTTTTACCAATTGAATATGGGGTCCCGCAGGCTCGGTCTTAGGTCCTATTCTCTTGCTGTTATACGCAAACTATATGCTTCCGTCTATTAAAAACGGAAGAACGTTTTTGTTTGCCGAAGACACAAATGTTCTTTGCAAAAAAATGAACAGTATTATTTCAGAAGTTTCAAATTGGTTTTATAATAACAAATTAATAGTTAACGATGGAAAAAGTTTCAAGGCATTTCAGCATTTCAAAACTGCAATCGCATGCTCCATTGAAAATGAACAATATGCTGATCTTCAGGTAACCAAATTTCAAGGTCTCTCAATTCAGTAAAATTTCAAATGGTATGTACATATAACAAAATTAAACACTAAAAAAAAAGTTATTTGTTACGCATTCAGAATTCTTTCAAATTCTGTCAGCCTTGCATGTTTGCGATACGTGTATTTTGCAAATGTACTACCTTACCGTCTGAGATATGGCATAATATTCTGGGGAAACTCATCATGTAGTAGTCAGACCTTTAGATTGCAAAAGAAAATTATTGAATAATGAAAAAATGCCATCCGCGATATCCCTGCAAGCGTCTCTTTATTGAGCTTGGAATCTTACCACTGCTTTGCCAATATAATTACGAATTTGTAATTGTCAAAAGTGACTTACTTAACGGTGGGAAGATTTTCATGCAATACTGATATTTATAATTACAACTCGCGTAAAAATCACGTTCATGAAGTGTCAGTATGATCAGCTCACTATAAGAAATCCACATCCAATGCATGTACGTTACTTTACAACGCATTGCCAGATGACATTAAACAATTGAATTCGGTTCACAAATTGAAGTTAAAAGTAAAATATTTTTCACTGCATAACTGTTTCTATACAGTTGGAGACTATACTGATTATCAAAAAGAAAAATAATGCTTATTTTAACAAAAAAAGTTATGTTTTTTTAAAAGAATGTTTGTAACAAATAATATATTTCAGTTTCCAGGTCAATGACCCCCATCTCGATCAGGTTTTTGTTCGGTTTCCCTGATCCATTGAGCAAATGCTGAGATGGCCCCTTGTTTTCCTTCTGGACGTAAATGTAACTCCATTATGCGCGTGTTTTGTTGAACACTCCTATTGCTTATAATGATAGGAATAGAGATAAGGGCGAGTTAGTATTTTGTCAGCATGCAGAAAAATCATACCTGCAATTCGTTTACCGACGCAAATAAGTTTTCTATAACTCGGAAACGAAAATGTCTAGTTCTTTAAAAATATTGCTACACTCGCGCTTTTTTAAATTGTATTTTATTTATTTTAAACTTGTACTCATCTTTTAACTATTTATAGTTAAAAAGGTGGGAAGGGATCCTGGAACTCAAGCAAAGGTGCGCAAATGATCTCCTCCGTACGTCACATACACTTTTTACTGTTTTTTGAGTAAATCTAAATCTAGGGCTTGTCGTACTGCCCGCGGCGAGTAAACGCAGTGTTGATGTGGTGTTTCCGCTCCGGGGTTCTCTGTTGCTGGACCTGCGAGTCGCACATGGCTTTGCCCATGTCAACATATGTAGTTTTCTGCCTGTATCTGTTGGGAGGAATAAAATGTATAATGCAATCGGGGTGTTGCAATACTTTTTTCCCCACCATTATATATCTTTCAGGAACAGATTCCATTCCGGAAAAAAAATCTCGATCATTTATATTGTAGTTGTTTGAAGACTCCGAAAAATGTTGAACTT